AACTAAACTTATGAATGATGGATTGAAACTGGAAACCCAAAGTGATGGTCACCGAGAGTAAGCCGATGCCGTAAGTTTTAGCCACATTCTCTCCTATGCAAGTGCCTAACCAAAAGGGGACAATGATGAAGTACATTTACTTGTAGGAGGCCACTGGGTTGGGCTGAGCTCCCCAACTAGGCCCAACAGACCAAACCAAAACGGAATCACTCTTGCCGAAATTTCACGCCACTAAGTCAAAACTAAGTTGTTCATCTGACTTTTCCAAGAAATTAGAAGAAAGAGATAATAGCCAAATCCCCAAATATGCCAGTTTTAGGCAACATGATAAGGAAATGCCCTCTGCTTCAACCTTTACAAGGGATTAAAACGACCAATCTGCTTTTTGTTCTGTTTCTGCTTTCTTCAGCCTTTTTAGGTCTATAAAGCCAAATTCCTCTGCTCAGCTCATCAGAACACTTAATCTGTTTGATAGAGTGAGGTGTTGCCTGCCTCTAGAATCACAAATAAAAGCCAATTAAGATGTTTAGCGCTGTTGTATTTTGTCTTTTGGCGAGTAACAGGAGGAGGAAGAGAGAGGCCCCTTATCTGAGTGTTGGCTGGTAAAGCAAAACTGTCTTTAAGTAAAGTGCTTTGCTGTCAAAGAGGACAGAGTTTGGCAAGACAGGCTTTTTGAATACTATCACCCTGAAGGCCTGACACCAAAATGATTGGCAGTATCAGTCTAACTCTACCATTTGGGAGGAAAAAATTTCCTGGTGCGATTATTGCCCTGGGCAGAGTAATTCCTCTACCAACAGCAGAATAAATGGGCAAACAGAGAGGGGTAGGATGGGAGGCCAGAGAAGCCAGGACAGCTGTGAATTCTGGAGCGATGGGGGAGGGGCTCTGGGGTGAGGGTGTGGTGGGGCTCCACATGTCTCCTCTCTGGGCCTCTGCTTCCTTATGTGTCAAACCAGGCCCAGAAAGGACAGTCTCTAATCCCCTTTTCAGGTCTGACAACCATTCAGGAGCTGGACAGCAAACAGCTCTGGACCAGAAAAATGGCCGCGAGGCCTATGCGTGTTGGGTGAGCCTGAGCCTCCATTAAGGCAGAGGCTCAGACACGGAAACCACCACAAGCCTGTCAGGTCTCATGGTCTAGTGACCAGACCCTGCCTGTCCTCAGCTCCAGACTCCCCGCCCAGCTCCCCAGGAGTCCTCCTGACACAGAACTAGCTTCTAACACCCCAGCTAGTCAGTCAGCGCTCTGCAGTCACCACCACAGCCCTTCCTCCCTCCTTGCTGACGGGCAGTGAGGTCACGGGATGGACAAAATGCCTTCCCTACCCCTCACACCTGACTGACACCCCCGTCTGAGTCAGGAGGAGTCACAGCACCCGCAGAAGGTTCTATCGCTCTCATTCCCATTTGCAGTCCTGTGAGGCGCAGGCCACCGGCTGCCACAGTGTTCAGTGGGCTCCTGCTCTGGACCTGGTCTGTGCCAGGTAGCACAGGGGTACAAGCAGGTGACACTGTCCATGCCCTTGAAGAGAAAGGGAAGCAAAACCAACACCCCTCACTGTCACCCAAACACACACGCCTTACAAATCTCATCTCCACAGCTCTGCACAGGCCATTTTTCCACCTGCAGTACCCTTTCTCCCCCACCCACTCTCTACCTGCCCAGGCTCTTGAGGGTTAGAAAGAGCTGGGGTCAATAACCTCCTTCATTGATTGAGCCCAGGAGTTCAAGGTTGGACCGAGCTATGATCATGCCACAGCACTCCAACCTGGGGGACAGGGCGAGCCCAGGAAGGGCTGTGGTGGTGACTGCAGAGCGCTGACTGACTAGCTGGGGTGTTAGAAGCTAGTTCTGTGTCGGGAGGACTCCTGGGGAGCTGGGCAGGGAGTCTGGAGCTGAGGACAGGCAGGGTCTGGTCACTAGACCATGAGACCTGACAGGCTCGTGGTGGTTTCCGTGTCTGAGCCTCTGCCTTAATGGAGGCTCAGGTTCGCCCAACACGCATAGGCCGCGTGGCCATTTTTCTGAAAACTAAATAAATAAAAACCTCCTCCAGCATCTGTGTAATTGTGTCAAGTTACTTATCTGTTTAAAAAAAGAAAAAGACAACATCCATAGCTCAGATCTTTTCTCGAGTAAAGATTATACATAATAATAGCCTGTGAAGGCCCTTAGCAAAGTGCTAGCATAAGGCCAGTGTGTAATAAACAACTTCTTGAATGAAGGCCTCTGGTGACCAGATTAGCCCGTGACTTTCCCCTTCCCTGAATTCCTACAACAAGAAATGGCTGAACCACTCCTCTGGCCCTTTTCAAACACAGATTCTTACTGTTGCCAATTTTCCTTCTTGTGTGCAGCTCGGTTTTCCCAGCTGCAATGCAAACAATGCTTTGTCACTCAACAAATATTTGCTGATTGATTAGCCAGTGAATAGCAATGAAGGTCAAAATGGACACAATCAATTTCCCAAACACATGGTGAGACAATAGGAGCTGCCTGGAATAGGAAGGGGCAAGCCAGGGCCTCAGAAAGGAGGTCTCTGCCCCAGCGCAGCAACTGCCCTAGAGAAGCCACTGCTCAAGTCACTGAAGAAGTGAGCCCTATCCAGTCGGAGGGAATGCATGAAGCCCGCTGAGCACAGCTGCAAAATCCTTCTCTCTCCCCACGACCTTCCACACTCTCTCTGCTCCTGCGCCAAGACATTGGCACCATCAGCAGAAGGCACTTGTCATACTCGCGCAGCCCAGTGTGGGATGAGAGCATCCCTCTGCAGGCCCTCAGCCTGACTTTCTTGAGGACCTCAGAACACAGAGATGAGGTGGGACCAACTCTAGCCACTCGGCAGGGCCTCACCAGGAAACACTCCTTCGCAGTGGGGTGGAGGCCAATCTTCATCATGGCAGGCTGACACCAATTTCTGCCAGCGCCCTCCCCCTACAAGATCAGGCTTAGGGAGCTGACTCACACCAACAGATAAGAGAAGACCTCAGTTTCCACCTAAATCTCCCGCCTCCCATTTACCCTGGTTCACCTCCACAGACTTTGATGCTTCCATTTTCCCTCCAGGGGTTAAATTTTGCTTTTGTTTTAGTTTTTTAAGGAAAGGCTCCATGCACTGGGGAATCCCTTTTGGAAGCGGCAACCGTCACCCGGGCGCACGCTGGGTCAGTACCTAGATATGTAATTCATAGGAAAACTCCGGGTTGCAAGAAGCCAAACACATGAGTCAGGTGGAAGCTCATCTTTCCCTCCAGTACTCTCAAGTAAGAAGAATCTTCTAGAATGAGTCCATCTGCAGCCATTAAAGACCTGTTATAGCCTCAAAGTGGAAAGTGGTGGGAAATTTTTATGATGTTCTGACTCACAATGTCCCCCGAGATTACCTCCCCATAGGTGTTCCAGTTCCATGATCCATTATCTTCCTCCCTCCTGCCCTGACCAGACGTGTTGACATCACTGAAATGGTGTGAAAGGCTGTTCACAGGGGCATGTGGGCGAATATAATTGAGTTCATAAGTTTTGTTTTAAAATAATTTCCCAGGACTATATGGCTAAAAGACATACACATCTTCCATCTAGCCACTCCAGGAATCTTTGCATGTTGCTCAGGAAAAGGAGGCTGAGTTTGAAAAGTAACATGTACAAAAGGCACTATTCTACCACAAATAGTTGAGCCTATCAAGAAATACCAACAGCGCAGAGGGGAACAATGGTCCCAGTTCTCCTTTCTCTAGAAAGGGGCCTATTTCCTAAGATGCCCACAGTTCTCATTCGATGACCATTTCAGGGCAGGAGCTCTTGCTGGTGCCCCAGCACCATCATCAGGAAGTAGCTCCATTCAAAGGCAGCAAAACAGACAAATCCCTGTCGCCACCCCACTCCTGCCCCCACATACTCACTACCTGGGTTAGGTAGATGTGTGTGACACCACAGGGATCTTTATATGGTAGAAAGGAAACAATGAGAAAATATAAGTCCAGCACTTAGTAAGGTGTCTGACAATAAGCACTCAGTAAATATTAATTACTATTATTGCATATCCTCAGCTCTAAGTCTTACATTTTTCAAAGTTTAGCATGTCTGTAAACATGTACCTTAGAATCTCTATACCCTATAGGTTTAGTGATTTTCTCATCCTTCTACCCCTCGGGCTGTCAGAAAATGAATGGTGTGTCTCACAATTGATGGAATCTTGGAATCAAGGAAATACGGTTTTAGTGCCCAAACCAGTGAGTGGGAATATGGAACAAAGGCCAAACACCAAAGGGCTCTGGGTTCATGGGGTTAAAACATAAGGGTGTGAGTGCCCACAGACAAGGAGAAGAGAGATGAGGATGTGGCCCAGAAGCTAATGAACTGGAGGCAGCAAGTCAGGAGAGGCCTGGAACAGACAGGAAAACTGCCAGGCAAGCCTACCCACATCAAAGATAAAGATGAGAAAGAACGTCTACGTACCACCTGGGCCAACTAGCCCAAGGGATGGAGGGGGGTCGTGGGGGCGGCTAAATCAATGTGCTTTTCTCCCCAGCACGATCAATCTACGGCAGCTGGGAAACTTGGTAGGAAGGCAACGTGAGTCCCTTCTGTGCGCGAGGAGGAAGGGGATTCTCATAAGACTGGACTAGAGGAAGCCCTAAAGGTGTCCGAAGAGCATAAGGAACAAAGGAGACCCGCTTGCAGGGATGGGGACAGTAACCCAGGAGGGGACGAAGAGGGCAGGCTGAGGATGTCTGGGGGCCCAGGCCGTGGAGAAGGAGAGAAGCCCGGGATGCCAGCCAAGAGAAAAGACAAGGGAGGAAGGTGAAAGTGGGGGGCGTGGGATGGGCAGCGCGGCAGAGGCGGGCGGAGGGGATGGGACGGCGGGGGCGCGCTCCCGGAGGAAGGGGCGCTCAGCGGGGCAGGTGGGGGGGTCGGCCCGAGTGGGCAAGAAGCGCGGGCGGGTGGCGGTCGGGAACGGGCAGGGGTCGGGGAAAGCGGGCCGCCCCCAGCCTCTCACCTTTGACGTCGCTGGCCAGCGCCTTCCACGTGGGGGCGAAGGCTATGCAGTGTCCGCACCAGGAGGCGAAGAACTCCACGGCCCAGGCGCTCCGGGAGTCCAGCACGGCGCCGCGCACCGTGTCCGCCTGCAGCAGCGTCAGCGGGTCGGAGGGCGAGTACAGCGCCGAGCGCCGCGCCGCGCGGGCGCCGGGCACCGGGAGCAGCAGCAGGAGCAGCAGCAGCAGCGACGGCGGCGGCCCGCAGGAGCGGCCGCACCTCCTCATCCTCGGCGGCGGCGCGCACCGCGGCGCTCAAGTTTCGGATGAGTGGGAGCCGGGCGGTGCCGCCGCACCTCCGGCCTCCGCGGGCGAGGAGGAGCCTGCGGCCCCGCCCCGGCCCCGCCCCCAGGCCAGGCCCCGCCCCTGGCCCCGCCCCCGCCGGCTGGCCCAGGGGGCCCCGGACCCGGCTGGGGCTGGGGCGGGAGCTGCGCGACCCAGCTGGTCCAGGCGGCGGGCGCACCTTTCGCTGTGGGCTGCGGCCTCGGAGCTGCGCTAGCCGGGTTCCTGCCTCAGGCCCCCGCAGGCGGGGAGTGCAGCCCGGTGCCTGGAACCATTGTTCAAACCAAAGGAGTGGGGCGCACGCCGAGCACGGGTCCGGACGGTGGTCGCGATCGCATTCGGCGAGCTCATTTGGCCTTTCGCGGCCCCCGTATCCAACGGAATAGATGATGCCTAGTTACACCGCTCAGGAAGGTTCCGGGGATCCCACCGAGCGGTCGGACGCTGTGAGTTAGAAGACAGGTGGGAGAAGAGGGACGCGTGGCAGAGTGGTCTCTGCGTCTGTGACCGCCAGGACCCCACAGGGATCCGATGCACCCACCCCTGCGGAAGCCTGTGACCATCAGAAGGGAAACATTACCAGAGGGCTTCATAGTCACGGGTCTGAACCATCTGAAAACCACTGGTCTGCAAGTAAGAGCAGAAAACAACAATCACAACTTGCCCTGCCTGCCCTTCCTGGAACGTCCTGGAATGAAAAGGTGGCAGAAAAGGAAATATACTCAGAAATGGGTGTCGAGAGGGAAAGGGGTGCTGAGGAAAGCCCACAGTGGGCTGGGCTGAATTGGCGTGTCCATTACTGTGGAATCGGGGTTTCCTCGGCACCCACGTCTGGCCGCCCTCATAAGGTTGTTAGGGCGATTCCTCCAATCGGGCCTCCCAGCGGCCCCCATCCCCCACGTCTAACTCTTCAGCCTACTCAGAGCTCTCCATATTCACTCAAATCTTCCTCTCACAAGTGACTTGATCCATTAATTTTGTGTTCATGGCTACTAAGGTGTTAATAGATTTCCCCTGGTCAGCTTTCCTAGTTCCACTGTTTTGAGTGAGTTATTTTAAGGGGAGAAGGTGCTCCTCAGAGGGTTGTCACATGTGATCTTTTTCCTTTGTGTCTGCTGGGTTAGCCCAGATTTGTTATTTGTTTATGGGAAATTTACTGAGTAGTGTTGTGCCAGACACTGTTCTAGGTACCAAAAATAAGAAGTAAACAAAATATAGACTCTAGGGATGTGGCACTTATGTTCTAGTGGGGATAAAGAGATGACATGTATGTAAATGTAGATCAGATCACGGTGACAAATGTTTATGAAGAAATATAGACTAGGGTAAGAACTGAGTGACAGAGGAGGTGCTATTTTAGACTTGGTTATCAGGTCAGGCCTACATCTCATATTTGCAGGGACTGAGTCAATAGTACAAATGGAAGACCACATATCATGTTTACATATTTAAAAACTATAAACCAAATATATAAATTGTTATGGAAAATTCCTATCCTTTTGTCTTACCACATATACCTTCATAATAATCTGGGAGGCCAAATTTAGGTTTAGAATTCTGGACTTTTCTGAGATATGCACTGGAATACGGTGGCTTGGCAGGTAACTGGTCCCTGGCCTTCAGCCTTCCTTCTCTTTACCTCCCAGCTCTGTTCCATACTTCCAGTGGCCTTGTGCCCATACCTATAACAACTTTGTCTGTACATCTGTGCTTTGTCCACTCTATAAATAGCCTCTCCTTAGCCATTCCTTGGCTCCTCAAGAGGATAGACCTTGGCAAAAGCCAATGCAGGCTGTAGCTGCTGGACTTTTGCTATTGGGACAGTGAATTCTAGGATTTCAGGTACCCATAGTATGATCTCAGAAGGAGAGAGGGGCAGGAGCTTTGGATGGGTACATTCCCTCAGCCCACGAACTTCCCGCTTTGTGGAAAGGTGCATGGCTGGAAGAGGACCAAAACACTCAAAGCCCAAGTTTGGGGCTCTTCTTGCTCCAATCTTAAGGCAGTTCTAACCAGGTAACATTTGAGCCAAAGACCTGAATGAAGTATGGTAGGGAACCTTGTAGCAACATGGGATAAAAGCATTCCAGGAAGAGGTCCAGAGGTTAGAGTTTTTCCTCTCTTCATGTGTTCATATTCTCTCTGTCCAGTGTCTTTTTTAAAATTTTTTCCTGAGACAGAGTTTCACTATGTTGCCTGGACTAGAGTGCCATGGCATCAGTCTAGCTCACAGCAACCTCCAACTCCTAGGCTCAAGCCATCCTCCTGCCTCAGCCTCCTGAGTAGCTGGGACTACAGGTATGCACCACCATGCCCAGCTAATTTTTTCTATATATTTTTAGTTGGCCAATTAATTTCTTTCTATTTTTAGTAGAGACAGATTCTCGCTCTTGCTCAGGCTGGTTTTGAACTCCTGACCTTGAGCAATCCACCCGCCTCAGCCTCCCAGAGTGCTAGGATTACAGGCATGAGCCACTGCGCCCGGCCTGTCCAGTGTCTTAAACTGCAGAAATAAATTATGTATTGACCAACTGGAGTGTTAGTGCCTTCCAACACTCCCTCCCACCTCCAACCCCAGCCAATTCCATTTGCTAGGTACTGCTCCCTGTGACTCAATCCCTGTACAGCTTCTGTTGCCCCACTGTCCTCACTCTTAGCATCCATTGGGACCAGGCCCAGCCCATTGAGATGGATGGTCCCCTAGGAACCTTGGATTCCAGGGCTTGGAATTACTCCAGCAGCTGGATCAGGTATCAGTAAAGTGTGGCACCTTCAATGTCTCTATTGTTAGACAATGTTGTAGAATGTCTGCCAAATCTGCTGAGTGCCTGGGAAAGACAGCTCAGATAAGTACACAAAGACTTGCTTGTTTTCATATCTGTTTGGAAATATAAAAGAATACAAACTATTTGAATGAGGTAGAGAAAGTTTCTTGGCCCAGTGGGGCCTCAGAAGGTTAAGACTGACAGTTATAACGTCTGGGATTTCTATACTTCATCACAATGGGGACTTTAAACTTTTTAAAGTCTTGGGAGCCTTTGTTCAGACAGAATCTTGAAAGGAAGCTTAAACAGATAAGAGCAAGCTGAAAGATGGGACCTAGAACAAAAGCCACTTTCTGTGGTCTATGGAGCTTCTCGGGAACTCTGGGCTCCCCAGGCCTTTATTTGGAAATCACTGGTCCAGAATTAAGAGCAGAAAACCTAAGAATCACAAGTTGCCCTGCCTGGGACTTGCTTGGATAAAAAGGTAGCAGAAAAGAAAATCTACTCAGAAATGGGTGTCAAGAGGGGAGGGGTACTGAAGAAAGCACTAGAAATGGGGGAGCACTTAGACAGCCTTACCTAAGTCCTCTTTTTCATCCCCTTCCCATATACAAGCTATAGGAAAGTGGGCCAAGATGAATCCAATGAGAATAATCACAGTATTACCTAGCACATTGCACCTGCTGTCCCAAGCCCTTAGACCCCACACCAGCTCTCTGTGGTTGATATTAAACCATTTTTACAGATGAGGACACTGAGGTGGAAGAGGCCCTGTTGACTTTCCCACTTGTGAATCATTCACGTGTTATCCACTAATAAAAAAGAGGGAATTTGGAAGTCTGCCACCCTAAAATAAGAGAGGTGGTGAGATGAATGCAGCTTATACATAATACACATAATTACGGTGAGCAACAGAAGAGTGTTTGGTAAACTGTGTCACCTGGTAGCAGAGCATTACGTGACTTTACCCTTACTCATTTGCACCAAGGATTAGAGAGGATGTATGCAGCTGGAGTCAAGTGCCCAGCAACAGAGAAGGGACCCTTGCTTTGTCCCTTCAAAACTCACCTCTATATCTTCTAGATGAACCTTTCCATAGCTGGGAGCAGTTCGAATCCTAATTCTGAAAGTTACTGAAGAGAAGTAAGGGTCTGTATCAGGTATGGCAGGAAAAAGAAGGGACGTTCAAATGGCTTACTGAAAAGGGTTTATTTAGTGGAAGGACTATTTCCAGAGGTATGTGCAGGGAGAAGGGAACTAACTTAGGGGCTGGCAAGAGCAAAAAGTCCTTTTAGCACTCCTAGATGAGAAGAAAGGGAGGGGACTCTGAGATAAAACCTAGTGAGAAGGCCGGGCGCTGTGGCTCACGCCTGTAATCCTAGCTCTTGGGAGGCCGAGGCGGGCGGATTGCTCAAGGCCAGGAGTTCAAAACCAGCCTGAGCAAGAGCGAGACCCCGTCTCTACTATAAATAGAAAGAAATTAATTTGGCCAACTGATATATATATATATATAAAAAAAAAATTAGCCGGGCATGGTGGCACATGCTTGTAGTCCCAGCTACTCGGGAGGCTGAGGCAGAAGGATCACTCAAGCCCAGGAGTTTGAGGTTGCTGTGAGCTAGGCTGACGCCACGGCACTCACTCTAGCCTGGACAACAAAGTGAGACTCTGTCTCAAAAAAAAAAAAAAAAAAAAACCTAGTGAGAGCTGGAGTTGAGGAAGCCGGGGCACCCAACTGGAGTTGTAACCACAAAATGCCACCGCTGCCAGAAACACAGGGAGGCAGGTAGTAGAGCAAGGAGGCCTGGGAAAGTATAATTTCCACTTCTTTCTCCTCCAGTTCTCTCATCTCTTGCCAGTGCCTGCCATTGGCCAAACCCAATCCAGCTGAGTGTGGGGTGGCCCTGATTATTTCATCACTAGAAGTTGGATTTCAAGACAAAAGGCAGGTTAGAGAAGGGTAGAGAATGAATACTCTACCTAGTTACAAGGTCCCTAAACTTGTGCCCTTCAAGGCCTTAGAAATGAGAATGGAAAACAAAAATTCCTGAACATCCTGTGAGACTCCTAGGTGGGAGTAAGGGGGCTAGAACTCTAACCATTGGAGGGCACAAGCTAGGGAAAGAGGGTGGCGAAGCAATTCCTTTCCAGCTCCTCATCCTTTCCTGTTCACACTTAGTCTGATTATCTTATTCTTTATCTATAGAGGACACCAAGGCCCAGAAAACAGAAGGGCTTGCTCAAGGCCACACAGCAAGGTAACGGTGGAGTCTGTTTCTGTCAGGCTTTCCAGCATAGCCACTAAAGTGCTGAGAACGGACATACATGAAAGGGATATTTAGGGCAGACTCCCATGTTCAGGTAGAGCTTCCCCAGGTCACCTGATGGCAATCCAAATGGAATAGGCACCCCCCCCCCACATACACACACAAAGAAGAGTTATTTAGAATGGAATGAAGATACACAGCTATTAGCTCAAGGCCTTGTTGTCGGGGCTCTCTGGCCAACATCAGGGGTGAGGCCTTTTGGGAACCTACAAATCATCACATGAGGCCTGAGGCCAAAGGCAAGAAGGCCACACTGCTGAGTTGCTGGGGTACAGGGTGCCCAGTCTTCCCCATAGAAGACTTCTGGGGACTTTTCCAACTATGTGATATTGTGAGAAGATATTATGGGGGAACTTTGGGCTTCTGGAGTAAATGTTCCAATTTAGACTATTTCCTGCCATGACTTAAGGGTGTATACTGTGGTTCTTACATAAAAGATAAATACACACAACTATAAAAAGAAGTACTGTAAAACACTATTTCTGTGAAAGGACAGAATATATAATTTTTTTTATAACAAGAGCATTCTCAGAATTTGCCT